GTTCTTTCTTCTTCCCATCTCCCCTCTGCTTCCCCCTTCCTCCCTCTCCATACTTTCTGCTCCAACAGCAGCACAACAAACGGTCTGTATTTGGTGGTTTGTTACACCATAAATCCTGTTGCAGAGTAGGAATTTTAAAACAGGTAAAATGCAGGAGTAAGGCACACGTTTTTGCTGTTAAATGTACTCTAAATGAAAATGTTAGGTGTAACAGTTCTAACAGGAAGATGTTGAAAGCTTTTTGTCTTCTTGCTGAGACTACGAGAAAAATTACTGTTAAAATCATTTGGGTTTTAATTACTTAATTTGAACGGGAGGAAGCTGGTGATGGATGCAGTTTGAATATGCTTACAGTGGTAAGAACTGAAACTTTAAAAGGAGCAATATGGATTGAGGGTGCCGGTGAGTGGAGTGTTTTGTTATTGTTACATATGTGTACAGAGTCATGTGGTATGAGCACTGTTTATACTTCTTGTACAATTACTTGTTTGTTAAATTCCACACTGTGTCATAAAGTGTTTCGTAGTTGTTTTGTTATAATGGCATTTCCAAAAGTTGTTTTCCAGGGTGGTTCATGATTGAGCACTGCTTTAGAGCTGTTTAATGTACGATGTGGTGGTGTTGTGGGGTTTTTTTTCTGGAGATGACAGGTTAGAAGATTTTTTGCTCTAGTGCTATTCTGTTAATTTCCATTAGAGTGCAGTAGAGGCAGTGTGTATTTATTCTGATAGCTGCTTCTGTTTATACAGGAATTGTGTATGTTTTTATTAATATTTGGAACATGAAACTGAGCCCGTTTTACATGACTGTTCAGACCACTTCTGCTATGTTGAACTGGTTTGTTTCTGACAGTTACAGGAATGCCCGTGTTTAAGGGAGATGCCACGGCTGGATTCCTGAGCTACTGAAACATGTAGAACAGGCACAGGAAAAATGTTTGTGGGAATATCTATTAACACATACTGTGGACTACTTATTTTTTGCTTCTTCTTTTAGAATATACTTATGAGAGTGGAGAAATGTTCAGTTGAGAGCAGAAAGTCTGAAGTGCTCTGCTGAAGTGGACACTGGACGTGAAGTGCTTACCAGACTACCTAAATCTGTGATTCAAATACAGCCCTATTTGTATGTTAGTGTTGTCTATGTGTCATTTTATATATTTGGAATGTGATTTTGTATTCCTTCTACTCATAAGTGATAATAGTATCAGTTAATCTTAAGGATTTTTACTTCTCCTCTGCAATGCACTATTTTAATGCCATCTAACTTATTAGGGGAAAACAGAGATGAGTTTATTTTAAGATGAGAATATAAAATCAGGAGATTTTTTGCTTTCTTTAAACGTTTTTTTTTTTCTTTTTTGAGGGGGCCAAGACGTATCGTGTGCCAGCCACGAAAAGGAAGTTGCAGGACAGATGGAATTAACAGGCCGTGTATTTGGTCAGGAGTCTTTTTATGAAAGAATGCTATTAGCTAATTGTGTTTTTCAAGGGGAGCAGAGAGTTTTTATCTGCAGCCTATAAAGCAGAATCCTTGTGTAGCATCTGAGATTTGAAAGGAGCATAGTCTGATTAATTTTGCCTGGAAAAGTCATTGTATGGTAGGAAATTGTTGCCTGTATATTCTTGATGCTATCTCTTTGGCAATAGGTCAGTGTATATTCCAACACAAAGTTTTGGGTTTTGTCTTGCTTATGTTGCAGTCTTCCGTGGTTGAGACATGCATGTAGTCTTCTGATCTTCACTGTTTGATCAGCATTGACTACTTGTGGGGCAGGAAAACAGCTCATTCCTTTTGCTCTGCCATTTAATAATTCTCCTGGGCATACAACTTGAGAACCATGTTTTATTTACATCCTGGGCTGCGTCAAAAGAAGCATGAGATCAAAAGATCGAGAGGTGATTCTGCCCCTCTCCTCTGCTCTTGTGAGACGTCACCTGGAGTACTGTGTCCAGCTCTGGAGCCCTCAACATAAGAAGGACAAGGACCCGTTGGAGCGGGTCCAGAGGAGGGCCACAAAAATGGTCAAAGGGCTGAAGCACCTCTCCTACGAAGACAGGCTAAGTAAGTTGGTGTTCAGCCTGGAGAAGAGGAGACTCCGTGGAGACCTTCTTGTGGCCTTCCAGTACCTGTCTGGAAAGCTGTTGGGGAGACTGTTCACAAGGGTGTGCAGTGACGGGTCAGGGAGCAGTGGTTTTAAACTAGAACAGGGTAGATTTACGTTAGACATTAGGAGGAAGTTCTTTACTATGAGGTTAGTGAAACGCTGAGCAGGTAGCCCAGAGAGGTGGTGGACACTCCATCCCTGGAAGTCCTCAAGGTCAGGCTGAATGGGTCTTTGAGCAACCTGATCTGGTTAAAGATGTCCCTGCTCACTGCAGTGTAGTTGGACTAGATGACCTTTAATGGCCCCTTCCAACCCAGTGTGTTCTATGATTCGGTAGTATTTTAGTCCCAGCACGATCTTACTGCTTTTTTGGCTTTGCATAGCTGTCAATGTTTTTAGAAGACTCGAGTGACTTGTTCACTGTAGTTGCAGTCACGCTTATATTACTCTTCCTGTGTCTCTTTTCTTGAATTATTTTTATTTCACGCACCACAAGAAAGGGGATTCTGCAATTTTTATAGTAGCCAAAGCACTTGGAGGGCAAGAGTTTTAATTACCATCTCTGAATGAATTTATTCTAAAAAATAATGAATAATTTATTCATTGTATCCTGACAAAAATTTATGATAGTGACAGTAGCAGTCAGAATGCCAATTTATGTGCAATTCAGTGAGTCCATGCAGTAGGTTACAAGCCTGAAAACCGTCCATATCTTTTCCTCATCCTTTGCATTTAGTCGTCTTATTACAAAGTCTGTGAAAGCTTCGGAGCACAGTGACAATAGCACTGAGTGACACCATCCACATTCAGATGGGAGAACAACATAATAAATCTTGCAGAAAACAATCTGCTTACTGTGACTATTCACTGCAAGTGAAGATCTGCTTGCAGGTCTGCTTGCCACCAGTAACACCAACACTCTCCAGACTCTTGAAGGTAGAAGACCACTGTGTTTCAGATAGGTTTGTTAGGGAATTAAGCTTGTCAGGCATATGTAGACAAATATGTTGTGCATTCCCTTTAGTCTTTGTTTTTATGGTTTCTACTTGCTTTGGGTTAGAGAGACTCAGGTAGAGCCAGTGATCCTGGTGAAATAACTAGTCAGTAATTGCAAACAAACTTCACAACTTCTGCTGCCTTCACAAACTGCACTACAGGGATAAGCAGGGGAAAGAAAGCTTAAAACCCATCTTTTGGTGACTTGTTTCAAGTGGACACTTCCTTCGCAGATCACTTGTTTCCAGTTTACTTCCAATTGGGAACTGGGAGGGAAAACTGATGCAAGAAGAATTGTTAATCTTCAGGATTTACAAGTTTTTTGAGTCTTATTTCGTTCCGGTTTTTAAGACCATTTCAAAATTTTTTAGTAGTTGCCAGTACCTGTTGGCAATAACCTCTGCCTTTCTTAAGCCTGCTAGAAATAGGCTTCGGAAAGCTCACTTTCTTCTCCTGTCATAAACAGGATTGATTTATCTCAATAACTAATTTCTAACTCTTGTGGGAGCAAGATAAATTATGTGTTTGAAATTTCATTTTGTTCTTGTTTCTTGAAGGACAAATGGTAGCAGTTTCACATTCTAAGGGAAAGTAGTTTTTCATTAGGAGAATTGAAGGAGAGAGGATACATAGAAATGTATTTAAGAAATGAATCTTTTTAATCCTCTACTGTCACTCCAGGATCTTTATGTGTCTAGTTTTTGAACCTGAGTTTCAGCTTCTGGATCTGAAACAGCTGTATTGTTTACCCATGCTTAAACTGTTGCTCTCTGACTCAGGACAGATTCTTTCTGGGTAACTTTTGCTCTGTTTACTGTCCTCTTTCACAGGAAGCTGAATGGTTGATCGCCATTGGGAATTTGGTATTGCTTCACTTTGTTCATAGAACAGCCAAAGTAATTTTTACAGATATTTAAAGACAAATTCAATTCTGCTGAGACATCGTTGTTGAATGACTCTTGCATAATGATCTGACTAATAAACAACTTAACCTAAAACGTTTGATCGGATGAGCTTCCAAGTAACTTCTTATTAATTTTCCAAGTAGTGATAATGGATTATATTTAATAGTATAAAGCTATGCACAAATTACAACAGAAACAGTTACCTCGTTAAAGAAACAGAATAGTGAGCTCTGGGTCTCTGTTTCAAGTCTCTGTTTCTGGGTTTCTGCTGCAAGTTATTTGGCTAAGATTTTGTTTTCACATGACTGCTTAAAAGGGTACGGTATGTGTTCACTGGTACATTAGTGCTTAGAAGTACTTATGACAGAAGGCAGTGCTAGTGTATATCTCTATAAATACTATTTTTGCGGTGTGAAAATAAGGCAGTGGTTTGTTGGATATAAAGAAGCAAACATCAAGCTGCCACATACATTGTGCTTTCACACTGAAGAGTCACTCATTTTTTTAAAATAATAGTTTTCTATTTAAGAATAGTCCCAATGGAGGCTTTATAGTTTTTAGCATTTTTATCTGTTTGCCGTTGCTTGATTAGGAGACTTTTGCGGGAAAAACAGCTGATGACGGGGATGGTGGGTTAAATATCACAAATATTAGTGAAGATTTTGATTTTTTTATTCTTTGTGTAAAAGGTATACCCTGCAATTTAGCCTTCTTAAGCTAGGGAAAAAAATGCTTCTTACAGGTCTTGCTTTCATGAGTTATATCATCTGTTTTTAAGATGTCCATGTAGTAGTTTGAAAATATCTCAGAATTATTCCTCCTGCTCTAAACATATAGGTGAAAGTGTAGACTCTGTAGTGTGCACAGCTTTATTTCTGATGCTTTGCTCAGAGTTAATTAAATGTCTGAACGCTTTTTTCTAATCTTTATGTGCCTTTTTCAAGTATGTTTTTTTCTTTTTGTTGTTTTGTCGATATATCTTTTAGGTTAAAAAAGCTGTGTCATCTCAGGGAAGCAGTAACCAACTGTGGGTTTCTTTGAGCAGCAACTCAAACCAATAATGAGCAGATGATACCAGTTAAGCAGTGTCTGGCAGACAACGTCATCACAGTGGCAACATCGCACAAGCAACATCAAAGAGCCGGGGACTTTTGTGTTCCCCAGTCAGTGGGAAGCATGCCCAGTATCTCGGCTGCCCAAGTGGCTGCAGTTTCTACATAGATCTCTACGGATCTTGTAGCCATGTCTGTTAGGGAAACAGAGAATGATCCTCCTCGATTTTTTGTGGGTGGAGAAGATGGAGAAGAATTATTGGATTCAGCCAGATCTACAGATTATGAACACTTCTATGACCATGGGGAGGAAGAGGAGGAAGAGTATGACTCTGTAGGTACTGCAGGGGCATGTGTGTACTATTCTGTATGTTCTCTAGCACGATTTTACTTTGAAGTGGCATTAAATCACAAAAGTCTAATGCGTAAATGGTGTTCTGAATTGGGAAATTGTTCATATTCAGATAATGATCTGTCAGTTATGTTCGGAAATGCAGCACACTTGAAAAGTAAGTATACCTTGAACTTTGAAGTAGAAGTCCTCGACTTTAATACGGTTTCAGGACAGCTGAAGTTAATGTGCAGGTTTTGCAGACTTGATTTAGATTCCTGGAATGAACTGGATGGCATAAGCCTTCATTTTATTTATTTAGATAATCGGTAGCAAAAAAATGTTCAAGAATTTTTCTTTCATGTGTGTTGTCAATAGCTGCAGAGTTAACTTTTGATTTTTCGGTTTGAACAGACACAGTATTTCTTTCATCTTGCTGTTGTTTTCATTAAGATCCGACATGTTTTCATTCTTCTTCCTTGTCTTACTCTATAGCAGGTGCATGCTAAATTAATCTTAATTTATACCTTAGTTTGTTATCCTTGCAGGGTGTTCTGAATTGTGTTTACTGTCAGACTTACTAATTTTTAGTTTAAGACAATTTTATTATGCATGAATTGTCACATTATGTCATTTTTTATCTATATTTTGCTTTTCTGTTAGTCTGTATCATTTCACTTTAGGGATTAGTCAGATTAAATTTTCACTGATTTTAAACATGTCTAAAAAGTTAAATGAAGGAAATAAGACCCTTCGCCATGATTATAAGTAGTGTCGAGATGCAGAGAAGCAGTACAAAACTATCAGCTTGGACAGCTCAATTCAGTCAGTGTGTTTTAGCAAAGGAAGATAATTGGCTATATTTTAAAAGAACAGTAAGCTGAAATAAAGGACAGTTGTGGGGTGTTTTGTTGGTTTCTTTTTAAACAGAGGAGTAAGTTGGCTGTTGCACTTAGGAATACCACCAGGGAAAGAAATTTCTGAAGGTTTATATACCATGAAAGAAAATAGAGAGTATACAGAAGAAAAGTGAAACTGTCTATGCACTAAATTGCTCAGAAACCTAGCACAGTATGTTCTGGTTTACTAATTTTTGCTTTCGTAATTCACTTCTAGTAAGATAAGAAGCCTTATGACTACTAAGTAGAAGTAGAAAAATTAAATAATTTGCAAAAAATGCCTCAAAAATTTTTAAGTATGTATATGCTGCCAATCTGCATTTTACTACCTGCTAGCAATTTATATGATTAAACACTAAATTAAAGGTAATATGTGAATTTTAACAGAATCTCCTCTAGTATTGTGCTGCTTAACCCTGTTATGTTCTGAGAAAACTTAGTAACTGCCTTTTCCCTCCCTTCTTCAGCCACCAGAAAGACAAATCGCAGTTGGGATTTGTTCAATGGCTAAGAAATCTAAATCCAAACCAATGAAAGAAATTCTTGAACGCCTCTCCATGTTTAAGTATATAACTGTGGTAATATTTGAAGAGGATGTTATTTTGAATGAGCCAGTAGAAAACTGGCCTTTATGTGACTGTCTCATTTCTTTTCATTCTAAAGGTAAATCTTCTAATAATGCCATAAGTATTTTTGACATCTAAATACTTTAACCACTTTGAGGGTCTTTTTTTATTTTTATTGCAGTTTTATTGGATTTTCCTAGGAAGTGATTAATTTGTCTTGTGTAATGTAATTCAACTGGCTTCTAAAATACAAGCTTTTTAAGTTGCACTGTTTTCATTGGTTGAGAAAGTCCTCTCTGACATGGTATTTAAGATAGCAATTCAGCCGGTAAATATTTGTGGAGCCTGTGGAAATGGTGATCTAGTACTTCGTTGGTCCAGTAACTGTGAAGGCATGCAACTTTCTAAATGGGAGTGTGCTGAGTCTGGCTGCTTGCTTCTGTTTCTCTGCTAATATCTAGGGGTTTTTGTGGGGCTGGGCAGTGAATTAAAGATTCAGTTCAGGCAGGGGCAATAAAAGCCTTAGTTCTGGCCCTACGGAAGTGAGGAGGAGGTAATTGGAGATAGGACCATTACTTTTAGCAGCCTATACTGAAATTAGGCTGTCGTTTCATGATCATCTTAGGATGGTGTTCTGTGTATCTATAATTGAGGGAAGCCATGTCACTGGTTGTACTCTGAAGCTGAAATATGCAGATTCCAAAGTATTCACTTGTATTATGTCTTGTAGTTTTAATTTATTTGCCTTAATAAATATTTTAGGATTTCCACTGGACAAAGCAGTTGCCTATGCAAAACTCAGGAATCCATTCATAATTAATGACTTGAATATGCAGTATCACATACAAGACAGGTAACTAACACTACTTACATGTAAACAGTAAACTACTTTTAAATGGGAGACTGTGAGAATCTGTTGTTATTGAATACACCAGTGCTAGAGTATTGTGCAGTAGTCTAAACAAAATTATAGTAAATATTATGCTTTATTAAGGTATGCATAGTTTCCTATGATATGTCTTTAGGTGTGTTTTTTCTTTTACTACTTTCATATTGGTATGTCTGAAGATTTACAAAGGCAGAAAAATGGTGATACATTTGTCTAAATCTGAAAATAGGTATAGCATAGGTCTGTATAGCAACTGTACAACCTCCTGTAATTGTAGAATGCATGTGACTTAGTAAAGGTCTTTTGTTTCTGTTAACTGTCCACTTAACAGAAGTTGCTGGTACTCAAAGATCACATTTATTCAAAGTGAATTTTCTTTCAAAGCTGCAGTCATGCATGCCTAATATTAATAAAACAACAGGGAGCAAAATACATGAACATTGGAGACTTCTGAACAGTGAGCAGACTTGCTGTTTTGAATTCCTTCAGTTACTATCCCATATACACTTTTTCAACCCTTCGTGTTAATATCTCCTCTAACAAGGTTTGTTCTGTGTAAACTGCTGTTGCCTATTCAGGGTGGAGAGGACAGGACTGTCATAGCAAATTACGTTTTTATGGATATTGATGACATCGCTGCAAAGGTACAGCTGTGTCAGTGACTTTTAAAGCATTATATTACTGAGTATTATATACATGATCTTATCCTGTGTGATCTGAAAAAAACCCCTGTATATTTTTCTCCTTCCTTACTCATGGGCTGTAAAATACAAATATTGGCAGGATTTGCTGTCCTACTGTGCAACTTTTGTTCTTTTCTTCTAGGAGGGAAGTGTACAGTATTCTTAAAGCTGAAGGTATTTTACTTCCTCGCTATGCAGTTCTGAACCGTGATCCAAACAATCCCCAAGGTAAAAACTGATGACTCAAATGTCAAACACTGGCATCTTCTTGTTTCCACTGAAGAACAGTACACAGATAGCAGAAAGCTCAATTTCACTCATTAGACAATTAATCCATTTGTGCAGTGTTTGGCTGTGGGGACAGTTATGTGAAACAGAAAAGGTGTTCAGGCTGTATAAGCAAGCCCTGTTCAGGAATAACTAAAACACAAAGACTGGTTTTGGTCAGAAATTCAAAACGTAGCACTATACCAGGTGCTATGAATAAAATTAACTCCAAGCCAAACACAGTACAAGTATGCATCTGAAAAGCATGCTTCTGAAGTCTGGGGTCACAAATCCTCTTACAGCCATCACAGAACAACTAGAACACAAGGGCCTCCAAACCCAAACTAAGATTCTAATATGTCTCCTAAGAGAACAGCATTCTGATGTTACATTACCCACAATAATTAGTAATTTTACTTAGGAAAGTAGTATTGACAGAAACAAGTCAAGCCGTTGAATATTTTCCTTTCCAAGTACAAGCAGCCTTGTAAGGGAAATCTCTTCCAGACAGATCTGCAGATGATATACTCTGAATATCAAATTGGAATTATTTTTTTTTCTTTACCTGAAAACAAATGTAACACCTTCTTCTACTAAAATGAAAATTTACAACAGCAATAGGAGATTGCAGTGACTGGTCAAGAGACTAGAGTAAGAGATTAAGAAAAAAGAAAGAAAGTTGAAGTATTAACTGTCGTATAGATTTTAAGAGGTAGGGTATTTTAGTTTAAAATGGGTGTGTAAGATAGGGGGAAAGCGCTCATTTGTGCTACCAAAGTCAAATAAAAGCTGCTACATGCAGTCATACAGTAGTGAAGAGATTACCGATCCCTGATTCCAGAGGTCCTAATCCTCTGTGCAGGGTGCATCACTTGCACACTGTGAGACAGTTCTGGAAAGTACTATTGCATCTGGCACCATGTTCAGTGGCCATCTGCCACCCACTTGATGCTTCAGAGAAAGGCACTGAAGAAAGAGACAAACAGTCCTGTCCTCTGTCTTCAAAGCATTTCCAAAAAACCTACCACCTCTCCAAGCTTATGCATCTGTACATGATGATTTCCTGTCTGATACTGAGGGAATCAACAGAAATCCTGGAACAAAGCATTAAGGTAACATAAGATAGATGTGGTACAGCAGCCATGTTCAGCAAATGATCATCAAGTCTTTGTGCAGTCAGTAACAAATCAGTAAACTAAAAATGTGATATGATGTTTTTATTTCAACCTACAAGATTACCCCAAATCTGCAATCATTTAATTGCATTAACATATTATTACATCTCTGTTGTTTGCATTGTTTCTTCAGAATGCAACTTGATTGAAGGAGAAGATCATGTGGAGGTGAATGGAGAAATTTTCCAAAAGCCTTTTGTAGAAAAGCCGGTTAGTGCAGAGGACCACAATGTTTACATTTATTATCCAACATCTGCTGGAGGTGGAAGCCAGAGGCTCTTTCGAAAGGTGAGATTATTGTAGTAAAGCTATGGAAAAGTTGTAGATGTCTAACACAATTGCTAAGTCTGCAGTTCTGTCCTACCCGTATGTTAGCTGTCATGTCCTGCTCTTGTAGGAGTAGTGGCAGATCAGTCAAATTGATTTCAGGATAATGTGTGAATTGAAGGTGCTTGTTCCTTGCAGCAGGTTGTCAGCCACTTCAGACTCTTAATCACTACATGTAAGCGTACACTATCAGCTCACTTTTAGAATCTTAGAAAAATCTTTTGGGGAACAATTAAAACCTACTTGCTTAATTTGCTTCAGTAAGTGTTTTCCCAGTACAAGTTCTCTTTAAAACTTGGAGTTTTAAAGTTTCTTAGTTTATTAATAGAAAAATATTGATTTCAGATTGGCAGCAGAAGCAGCGTTTATTCTCCTGAAAGCAGTGTGAGAAAAACAGGCTCCTATATTTATGAGGAATTCATGCCTACAGATGGCACTGATGTAAAGGTATGACAACTGTGTGTTCTTATTTATATTTAGAACAATCAAGTGCTTCAAGAGCTTATCAGCTTTAAAGATGAAAGTTTATCTTTGTTTCAAGGATTAATTTTAATGAAATTTTGATACAGTTCGTAACTAAAGAATGTAATTCTTATGCTGACTAAATACAATACTTGTAAAGTAGAGCATGTAGAGCAGCTTTGCTTGTATTGTTAGAATGAAGTGCTAGAGTCTTTATTTTTTGTATTATATTAATTCCAGAACAGCATACTTTCCTTTGTAAACAGGTATATCCAGATCTTTTGTGTGAAAGTGTCATGATTTGAGCTAAAACAAAATTGCTTCTGCAGAGTGATTTTGCTTTTCAGCTAGGTCTCTTCTAAGAGCCTGTACTTTCTAAAGTTAACAGGATACTTTTGCAGAAGTGATAGCACTTGATGTTTATAATTCCTGCTAAAGATTGGTACGCAAAAAGGCTCTTGATTATATTGCTCCTGTGGTAACCAAGGTCACTGCTAAATCTTGTGTGACATGTTGAGGGTGCTGAGAAGTAAAAGAGTCGAAAGGAAGTAAAAAGCTTACACCTCTGGGGAGGGACGGACAGGATAGGTGACCAAAACCTGACCAACTAAAGTATTCCATTCCATATACGTCATATTCAGGATAAAGCTGAGGGGTCAGTGGGGCTAAGCCATTTCCTTAAGTGGCTGACGTGTGAGGTCTCCATCTGCTCTTCTGCCTTCGATCCTGATCAGTGAGTTCCTGAATACAGTTCCGCTCTGCTGCTGAGTCCAGCCTGGGATTTCTCTGTGTCTGCCTGCTCTACAGCATCATTGGTGATTGCTAAGGGAGGATGAGGGGGCTTGAGGTCGATATTGGTTTTGTAGATATTTGTATATATTTTATTATTTTCTTATTAGTACTATTATTGTTTCATGAGAGCTGTTTTAGAGTAGTGAGGTTTTTTCCCAATATGTAAGTCTCTCTGCCTTATTCTCTTTCCATTTTGAGAAGGGAGGAGGGCTGTTAAAGAGCATCTGTCATGTGTTCAGTGGTGACCCCAGCCTTAACCCTTAACAGAAGGTTACAAAGAAATTTCTAGTTGAAATAGATATATACCAACTATCTTAGTATTGTAATTAATAAGCATAGGTTACTTACTAAGAAGTTGCAGAAAATAATGCATTGACCTTATCTTTAATTATTTTCACTCTTTTGTTCATTTCTTTTCTTAACAGGTATAAAGATTAGGTGTCATGAAAAAGTGCTAACGTTGATCAATATTAGAATAGATGTTAAACTAGCCATGTATGGAGATTGGTTTGTTTCCCTTTGGGTTAATTCTGGCTATTTTAAGCCTGTCACAGAACTTGTGAAACAAATGCATGAGAGATCACTGTATTTAGATGAAACGTAGATCTAATCTAACTTTAGGCCAAAGAATCCTTGTATCAATTGCAGTCAGCTTCTTCCACTTAGTGATACATGAGGGGAATGCATGTTCTTTAAGTTGGTGTGTTTTCATGAGCTATACTCTTCAGATGGTTATACTGTGCATCACTTTGCAATAGATTAATCTGAGTTTACAGACATTTGTGTAAGAGCTTTACAACTGCTTCCAAAAGGAAGAGTTTCTTGCAACCTGAAGAGATGCAAATAGCTTGAGGGGTGGGGACTGTTTCAACTACTTATTGTAGTGTAGTCATCAAGCAGCACCTGTGGTCTTCTAACCCCACAAATAAACAGTGAGATTTTCTTCACGTAACAATACTTAGGGTTTTATATTAAGCAGCTTCACCCAACTTAGCTGAATTGACTGAATTGGTAGTATGTGCAATCATCTGGTTTAGCTGAATACGTTTTCCTCAAAGATTAGAGTTTTATATTTAATTAAAGTGACAGTAGCCCATTTTTGAGAGCTGCTGACAAGTCACTTCTATCATGTGCCTCAGTCCTCTCAGTGAGAATCAAAACTATGGTGGAGTAGATAACACAATTATTCCTTCAAGCCCCTGCCTTGTCATGCTAAAACTGGGCAGATCTTTGCTTTGTTTAGTCCTGCCTAAAGCATGAAAATATTTTTTGATGACAAGAATCACTTAGTCCTGGAGCAAGATCTGTATAATCAAATGAACTGAAATAATTCTCAAATTAATCTGCTCTCCAAGTTTTCCAGATGTTTTGGAGAGGAAAACATTATTCTTTACCTCTGTACTACCATAATTAAGAAATTCAAGGTACTGTAGAATGATCTTTTCACTGATGAAAGCAGCTAGTATCTTTTGAAGTTGTTATCACATTTAAGATAAATATCCTAAAATGTATGCATATATGCAATGTAATTTAATTGCATTGAATAAAGAGTTCCTGTTTTTTCCTAAAGGTGTACACAGTAGGTCCAGACTATGCTCATGCTGAAGCACGGAAGTCTCCGGCTCTGGATGGCAAAGTAGAACGAGATAGTGAAGGAAAGGAAGTGAGGTATCCAGTCATCCTGAATGCTAGAGAGAAGTTAATTGCTTGGAAAGTGTGCCTTGCCTTTAAAGTAAGCTGATTCCTTTCCTATCTGATCAAACATTTAGTGTTAATTAATCATTACATGAAACTTCTGTAGGGTTCTAGTGCACAGAGTCAGCAGTGATAATTGCTGCAGAACTCATAGAAATGTGAAAGGTTAAACTTTCACATCTGTATCTTTTTTTAATCTAGAAGAATCTTTAATGTGTTGAAAAGTTCTATGCTTGTGTTACATAGGTATCTTTCATGTGTTGCTATTGTGCTTGGTTAGTCCACAGTGCATCTGTTCTATGGTAGCATCATAGAACAATTCAGGCTGGAAAAGACCCTTGGGATCATCGAGTCCAACCATTGACCCTACACTACAAGTTCACCCCTAAACCATATCACCCAACACCACATCTAAACGACACTTAAACACATCCAGGGATGGCGACTCAACCACCTCCCTAGGCAGTCTGTTCCAGTGTCTGACCACTCTTTGTGTGAAGAATTTCTTCCTAAAGTCCAGCCTAAACTTGCCCTGTTGCAACTTGCAACCATTCCCCCTGGTTCTGTCCCTAATTGCCTGTGAGAAGAGACCAGCACCAACCTCTCTACAATGTCCTTTCAAGTAATTGCAGAGTATGATGAGATCCCCCCTCAGCCTCCTCTTCATCAAACTGAACAGACCCAGCTCCCTCAATCGCTCCTCATAAGGTCTGTTCTCCAGGCCCTTCACCAGCTTTGTTGCCCTCCTCTGCACTCGCTCCAACACCTCGATATCTCTCCTATACTGAGGTGACCAAAATTGAACACAGTACTCAAGGTGCTGAGTACAGAGGGACAGTCACCTCCCTTCTGCTGGTCACAGAATTTCTAATCCAAGCCAGGATGCCGTTGGC